TGGAGCAGGTGAGTAGCACGGGAGCATTGGCCCTTTCTTACCTCGATTCTGAACCAATTTAGTACCAGTCATTTGGGAATCGAGTGCTGCTCATGCCACCACAATATGTGTGGCCTTTGGGCTGTTGTTGCTAGCAGATGGCAGAGAGACTCAATGCTGTTTGCCTCTGTCCACAGCGAGCTGAACTGAACCCATCTTCCTTGCATTCCACTCATAGCAACGAAGATCGAGTCATGCACAGGACATTCCCTCTCTTCCAGTAAAACAGATATTGTGGTGCCTTGACTGACTTGCTCCTTTTTGCTTCATGCGGGGCCATTGACTCGTTATTGCATCAAACCAAACAATCTGCCTCTTTCCCCCACTAGCATTGCATCCATGGACCCAGAACCCCTCATTCACCAACCTGGATATGTTCCCACCCCCGTCACCCCCAACCTCCCAAAAGAGAAAAAGAAATGGGGACAGCACTGCATAAAGCCAAAAGGAAAAGATGGAGAAGAAAAGAGAGTGGCTGGTCTTGCAGAGAGAAAGTCAATGCGCTTCAACTGAGTAAAACTTACCGTAACTAATGTATATTTCACGGACTGCAGTTTGCAGAATGGCTATGAGAAACAGCTGGCTTGCACCTATGAATTGTGGAGGTGGGAGGGGATTTGACCACAGGAGGAGAGAGCACTTTCACGATCCACTTCCCAGTTGTCATCGCTTGCATTCCAGTCCCGCTCCCCCTTTGGAGCGACAACTGTTGTGCATTTGGCTTGGAAGGGGCTCTGCCCATTGCACAGGCAACCACATTTCTGGTACTTCCATTCTGGTACTCCCATCTGTTGCCCTTCCTGCTGCTGTCTGAGACACAAGGACTGCAACCATACTGTGCTGCACAGCTGCACTCTTGAGCTGCTGGAATGTGGCAATGACATCCAGATTCGCGTTTGTGATTCCTTCCTGTGAAGGTGTGGTGCTGCTGTTGTGATGGGCATGGAATACTGGCCAGTTGGTCGATGCTCTCTTGGCATTGTAAGGGTTCTTGCGTCATGCATGAACCCTCACAACAACAAGTCATGCAGCCCTAACTGGAATCATCAGTGTGCCAGAGTGGCTTTGTGCGAAGCCACATCAGACCCATTACTATAATATGATTTGTCAAACTTCTTTTCAATTTGGTTTACAGTGGAGACTGCAATTAATACCTTGATGCACTTGCTCTGCTGTGATTCAGTACCTGTCTGAAGCGAACATGTCTTCAGAAGAACGTTGGAAGCTGGCACGTGCCAAGAAGCGCGCAGACTTCCGGAGGCATGAAATGGACACAGGCTCAACAGAGGTGCAAGGTGAGCAAGGGAGGGGCCCATGCCCATGGGAAGAGATGTGGGGCAGTGTTTGCGTGAGTGCAGCCATTTTTGTAACGTCGTTCAGCCAGACATCCCAACGCAGCCCACGATCTCAAGACACTGTCCTGGACAGGAGGGTCAGATGGAAATGAATTTAAGCACTTTTGCCAGGTTTGGAATCTGGATAAAATTAGCATGAAGTGTGTGATTGTCTGGTGTAGTGTGAATGTGAATGAATGTGCATGCATCAACAGAAGACCACATAATGCCAATGTGTTTTCCTCGTGTGGAACCATGCTGAAGCAATCTCAGGCGTCGTATGCACACTGCGTATTCAGACTGTGTGCATAATGCCATTGTACAAATGCACTCACCCAACTGATCATCTCAAGCCCCTGTCTGTGTGTGTGTGGCATCTAGTGGCGCTTCTGTCGGATCGCATCTCCCAGCTGCAGGGCCACCTGACAACTCACAGGAAGGACTACGCTTCGCTGAGGTGGGTTCTGAGGCCAGAAATATGCAATGTGCTTGAGCAGCCTTGTGCTTTGGCCAGCATAGCAGCATGGGATGGGTTTGTTGTGCTGGTGCGACATAGACCAGCAACATTGTACATAATTGTGTATGATGTGATTGTGATATTATCCATTGCGTAATTGACAGCCTCTGTTTGGCCTTGTGCCTGTTCAACAGCGTGCATTCTAACAGCAGACTTGAGATCTGCAGGGGTAGACTATGCTTCTGGCCCTGATGGGTCCTTATTTGTTCAGCTTCCTGTGAAAACCCAAGAGGTATATATGGCACAAAAGGAAGTACGGAACAGTGTGGTGAACGCAAGTTACAGGAAATCGTGTGTTGTTAGTGCTTGTGTCCACCCCATGCCACCACCCTGTAGTGAGAATATGATAATCCTATGATGATGTATATCCAACAATGCTGATATGGTAATCCAAGTACCATACCATGCCATAGAAGAAGAGCATAAGAAACGAAGGATGAAGTACCAGCATCAATCAACAGGTTGTTCGTCATGAAATGCCGGTGAGGAGAATGCAGCACCTTGAATGTGACTCAGAGCCTGAGTTTCCAAACTGTGTTTTTCATACCAGAATGTTGGTGTGTAGAGTGTTTTGTCCAAAGTAACAGAATGCAGCCCTTGCACAAGAAGGACGCTGTCAGCCATATGGCCCCATACAGAGTGTTGAAAATGCAATCTCCATGGACGCCAAGGCCATATGGGATAGTGGGTGCCAAGTGGTGGTCAAGAGCATTGGCCATTTGCAGTAGTGTACCATTGTGGCACTGCCCTGCATGGTGTGCCCTGACCACAGATCAATGAGGTTGCATGGAGCGTGCCTCTCCACAAACAGGGACACTTTACGCTAACCATCATGACAAAATGAACAACATCATGTCACCTCATGGACATGGATCCCAAGGCGACGGGCTTCAAGGAAAATGACTGGCACACAGGCACAGTGATTATGGGAAGGCATGTCAGGTTAATCAGAGGACTGCGCGCACAGAGCACCCCTAGCACTGCTTCCAAATGAAGTCGACCACCCTGTAGCCATTTGTGGTAATATATGTACAGTGTCATGACCTGGAAATGGGTTTCTGCGTACATTGGCATTGCTTCATGCAATGACGGAATGTGTCCAACGTTCCGAAACTGGCCCATGAAAGTGCCAGGGCAGTGATGTGCCGGGACAGTGCTGTGCCAATGTGCATGGGTCCGCTGCTTGTCTTGTAAATAGCAATGTCTTTGTTGTGCATGGCTCAGTTGCCATGCCCAGGGAAACTCGTGTTTCTGCATCATGTGCAAACAGCAATCTAAGGCTAACCCAACTTCACCATGATGGTGAAGTTGAGTCTGGCATGACTGCTATTGTCGAACATGACAGGACACGGCCCTTGCATGTTGCAAGTACTGTCGGGTATACCTGTTGCAATTTATATGTAAAAGGTAGCTAAAAGGTTATAGCTATAGCTGAAAGGCATGTGTGCTCAGTGATTGTTTCGTTGCACATGATGGAGCTGGGTGGAGAGCAGCACTACAAAGGGAGCCATGAAACATCACGCTCTGGGGCAAAGTTGATGGCCAAGGAATGTCCCTGTGGTAATTGTCCATTTGCGAATCTGTTTTGTAGTGTGCAGAAATCAATAGTTAGCAGTGCATCTTGTACCAATTATGCAAACGCACCCAAGCTACGCTGCATGTCAGCGTGCTTTTTCCCAAACTCTTATAGCACATGCTGGAAACAAAGGACATGAGGCGCTGCAGCGCTGCAATCGATCTTGCAGGGGACTGCGAAAGATCATCAGCACCAGGAGGAAGCTGCTGACCTACCTGCGCAATAACAACTTCGATGCTTACAGCACGCTGATCGGCCGCCTGGGGCTGAAGGATGAGTACATCAAACAGGTAGAGACCAGATGGGCGATGAATTCAATTGTTGCATTACCGCGAGGCATGGCAAGCGAGAGCATTGCATCTTTCACCTTGCAGAGGCGTTGACTGGCATATAACAACCAACAGTGTTTTGTTCCTTTGTTGGTTCCATACTTGAGAGCAGGTGGCCGCACTTGAATGAAATCACAACTTGTTTAGCATTGATGAAAGCGTGCAGTTGTTTTCGACCTTTCTTTTGCAAAAGCTTGGCAGTCCTGCAGCCCATTTACTGCACAGACAGCAGCAGCTGTTGAAGCATATCATATCGATAAATGTGTGGTAGAGTACTCTGTTGCTTCTCACTGTTTTGGTTCATTGGTCATCAATAAAATGCCACACACTGTAGCTCTGCATAGTTCACCTTACTAATACTCTATATTTCCACTTAACTCCCCATCGTGCGATGTAATTCGATGTTGTGCAAAGAACTATGTACACTGTAGCAACTCGATGCAGTTTATGGTAAATTTAATTGCCTGCTGTAGGTTGATGTGTTGCACTTCGCATTGTATGTTGCATGTACGTTTGTATGACAGAGCTTTGCATGTCATATTTGCAGTTTTTACGGCTCTGCAGTTTGTACGAAACTGCGATGTTGGTGCACTGAAGAAACATCTGTGGGCATTTTCTGCACTCGCAGTTGCCTGCCAGGTGCAGGGGCCTTCTGCTAATCCACTGATGTCTGCAAATTTGTTAATTGCCTTCCTTTTGGGTAAAATTAGATTGTGCACATGACTGTAGGATCGCTTCTCCAAGTACCGAGAGGCTGCCAGACCACAGATGAAATGACCACCACATCCATGTGGACGCTGCCGAGAGGTACGGCCTCCATTCAGACTGAGCTTGGCCATCAACAAGCGAAATGCAGTACAAAAGGCAGCAGTGGGCGAGAGCGCTGCTGCTGGCAATGCTGCAGAGAAGGACCAATGGCACATTCGCAGGAAGGAACTGCAAGGATCTTGACTCAAGCAGCAAGACTCATGTCCCATCGTTTCCAAGAAGGATTGCCGGTGAATGAATTCTCGACGTTGAACAATGATTGTTAAAGGGGGGAGTGTGCCTGTGGCCTGCAGTCTCCTTGGGCCACGCTGCAGATTACCGCAATGGGAAAGGGAAAGATCAAGAGAAGGCCAGAGGCTCTAGCATGGGATGGTCGATGGCCCTGGACCTGCAACAAGATTCTGCGCAAGAAGTGGCGGGCAGTGGCAGCGATCGCCAGTCTGGCAGGATCGGATGTTGCTTTGGGCCTCTGCCAGTGGGTTGCGGTCTTTGCCCTGGATTTGAGCGAGCTCCTCCCAAAGCCTGCCCCCGACCGACGTCCTGATTGCAGGGATCTTCACCCACGCTCAAGATCCCAGCTCAAGGGCCCCTCCTGCCGCACCGCCCAAGCGCCCCTGCTGCCAATTTGGTGTCCAATCGCGCCCTGCACCGCGCCACAGCCTTCAAGAAGTGGTGAGGCGCCCAGCCAGCGTCCTGGGCGACCCGGGAAGCTCTGCTCAGAGCTTCACGGGATGCCAGCAGCCTGCCCAGGTGCTCGAGCTCCACGGCGTGGTTGTAGTGGGCGGCAGCCAAGAGGTGGACAGCCTCCGAAGATGGGTGGTCTCGTCTGGCGCTCTCTGGTGTGACGGAAACAGGCATGCTCTCGCGTTGGGGTGATCTCTTGTCCAATTATGGAGTTTTGTGGATTGCGCGTGTGGTCTATTCGAATGATAATGCATGGAGCATTGCTTACATTGCCGATGAGTATGAGCGGATGAACTCTGCCTACCGAAAGCGGCAAAACGGTTGGCAAGTTCACCCTGCCAGTGCCCCCGGACTTGGCACAAATCGCCGCTCGACAATCGTCATTCTGCAGGCACGCATGCGTTTGCCCCACGTGCAATGGAGCTAGCCGCTGCCTGGGTCTGTCATTCTGAAACCGCGACGATGAATGTCGCGAAGTCGAGCTGCACAGAAACGCCCTGGACTGCTCGACGCCGTGGCGCCACTGTTCGTTGTTTAAGGAGCTCCATTTTCTGTGGTGCCATGCAATCATGCACCAATTGTTCCTGAGCTCGCCATGAGCCATTCACACTCTATTCACCAGCTCTGGGGACTGCGAAAATTGCCTTCCACAATGACTTGCACCAATTGCATGGGCGCAGCTCCCACTCGCTTCTCGTATGCATGCTCCTTGTTCGCCTGCGACGCCATTGTTGTAACTAGAACTGATTGAGTATTATTGACAACTGAATGTATAAAGAGATGGTGAGGCATTAGGAATCGCATTAAGGACGTTGATGAACAGATTGAGTATAAGGGACAGAACTCTTGTTGTCCCTTTGCCTCGGCTGTAAACCGTTGCCGTGGACTCGAGCGTACGATCCCCGTTCAGGGATCGCCACCCCTCGACCCTGCCTGCCTTCGTCACCGGTGACGATACCATTACAGTACCGTCACGCCTACAATCACCATTTACATGACACACCTACAGATATTACATTCCACTATGCATGATGCATGTGTGGCTATGAGTGTGTTGATGCCACTGTAGTCGGCTTGTGTCTCCCGTCAATGTGAATTCGAGTTTCATTAAATGTTAATGCCCACAATCAAAATCCGTCGATCAGAGAGCTTCGCGATTGTGGTGACAACTCTGTCAACACTGACTAAGCCAAGGCAGCACTCTTGGGCACAACATTTCCACCTTACCTGAACGCCCTTGGACACGACAGCAAGATAGAATGATGCAATTCATGCAACGTTGGATGACTCAACAGCCCGCACATGGCAGTGCCTCAGAGTACGCAACAGAACATGAGGTTAAAAATGCTGTTCTATATATTGAGGCAACGGCGACTGGAGGTTTTGACGAGTGTCTGAGACCAGTAATGCCCACAAGAGTTAGCATGAATTTAAGCATGTAAACATATTATGCTTATTAAGCGTATACTGTAGTATATTCAATCCTTCCACATAATAACATAACGCTTGTCCTTTTTTGCAGAGAAAACAATAAAAGAAACAACCTTCTTTCAAAATAAAGCTCCCCTCGCTTCGCTCTCAAGGATTTTGGGGGAGCAGCGACAAAAAAAACAAAAATAACGCGCTGAAAACAAATGTGGAGCAAAAGTGTAACGGCAAAATTGTTGACTTGGAAGGGTGGAACATACTGCGGTGATCATCAATGCAAGTGTCAGTTTATTCTTATCAGCGCGATTTGCCTTCCGTGCAGTTTGCTGTCAGCACCCGCCCGCACCTTCCAGCAGCTCCACCGCCTTCCTCGCCAGGCGCACCGCCTTCGTGTGCTTGCCCAGGCGACTCAACACCGCGCACATGTTGGCGAGGGCGGGGGCCCAGCCACGACCCGAAGCCGCAGCACCCGTGCGCTCCAGCCTAACTGCACGGGCCAAAGCCCGCCGGGCAGCCCTGGGCCTGCCCGCCTGCGCAATGCCACGTCTACGACAGTCATTGTGACGCAGTCAGCACAATGTAAAGCTCCACGCGTGGCGGAACTGCAGTATAACGTACGTCAGTGCGAACGCTTGTACTGTAGTTCCGTATGTGCGCGAAGTTCGTGTGGCATTTTCCTGCAAGACCTGCACTTCGTGAGATGTTGGAATTTTGGCGCAGGCAGGGTGCACTTGTTGGGCCATGCTATTTTTTAATTTACCTGCTGTACTTCAAAGCCAAAAAAATCTGCCAAAACGCACGTTTTGGAACCGTGTGAAAATCGCATAGAACCGTGCCAAAAGGTGTAAAAATCATGTACACTCACTCAATCGTTGCTGCTGAGTTTGGTCCCATTTTAAAATAAATACACGATAACTACACGATTTAGCATGATTTGAACATGATTTTCAATCGTGCTACTCGGTACGCCATTTTCAAAACCTTGTATTTTGGCCTGTTTTTTCCAGTGAGCAGAGCACCTCCGGCCCACCTGCATGTAGGCGCACGATACGTTGCTGAGCGTCTCCACGCGCAAAGCTCTGCGAAGGGGCAGCGAGCCGGGTAGCAGCATGCCCGCCTCCGTCAGCGTCATGGCCTTGCTAAGCGTCTCCTCCGCGAGGCTGCCAAATCCCTGCCCCGACAATCGCAGGGCCACAGAGTTGCACAGGCGCACTGTGGCCTGCACTTTGTCGATGGCGGCCTCGCCTGGGGTGACAGAAGCCAGGTGTACGAATCCAGTGTCTGCGTGGGCAAACCGCAATCGCCCCGGCAACTATCCGGGGATAATGCAATTGCAAATTGCAGGCCTTGCCAGACTTGGCGTACAGCCTTGTGTGGTTTACTATTTGTGCAACTATGTGCGCTGTGCTGCACATCATGTGGCTCGTGGGCTCGCACCCGCTGTGCTTGTAGTGAGGTATGTACAGTAGTACATTCAACCATTCCTCATCACACAATTTTACCGTGACGCTTTTTGCTCAGCGTTTTTTTTTTTCAGAGCGTTGTTTTCGTTTCTTTTCCGTTGCTCCACCAAAGTGTTATTAAAAAGAGCGTTGCTTATTTTGTTGTTCCCTCCACAAAATAGGACAAGCGTTACGTTACTATGCGGAAGGTTTGAATATATTACAGCATGAGGGTATGCATGAACGTGGGCCTCCGGTACCGGACAACCGGTTGTCCACGCGAATGCAAACGGACAAATGCACGAGTACTTACTGTTACCAGCAGTTGCCAGGCTGTTTGCATTGGAAAAGTGGTACCAGACTCGATATTTGGGGAACAGTGCTGTACCACTTTTTCGTGAAATGCTTTGTATGATTCCTAAAAATTCAGTGAAAATCCCGGCGTGGTTGCGCTTGCAAGCCTTCAGCCATCTGGAGCATGATTTTAAATGTTCTGTAGTAAATGGTTGCCTATTTCAAAATGGATGAATGTCGCGATATTGATCCAATTGCGATTTCGCACGAGGATGCAAAATCACAACAAGGATCGAGTGGAATCGCGACACAATGATCAGAAACGATGAAAACACATGCTCATAATTCAAAACGATTTCAAGGAAAGATATCTTTCCATGTAGCGAAAGTGCTGGAGGAAGCAGGGCGGCGCACTCACTGCTGGCGCCGTGCTCCTCCAAGCAAGCCGCCAGGTCGTCCTCGGCCCTTGCCAGCCGCTCCAAGTCCTCCTGGACGCCAACGCCGTCCCCAAATGCTTCGCTCCCGTCCCCCTCCCACACCAGCACCATGTCCCCCCAATCCGAAGCTGCGTGCTCGCCCTTTTCGGGGCATCTCCCGTGCCTGGGCCCCTGAACTAGCACGTGTGGCAAACTATGATGCAAGGATGCAAGGGTGATGCAAGGATGATGCAAGGATGATGCAAGGATGATGCAAGGATGATGCAAGGATGGCTCTAATCTTAACCCTTGATCTAGCATGATGGACATCGCCCATTTCCAATGCGCGTTCGAATCATGATACGATCCTTAAATTTGTTTCAGTGAATGAAGGGTTGTGGCGTTTCGAAGCGTCACCGCCCTTCTCCCGAGGAAAGGCGCACCGAAAAAAATAGTTTGATGGAAATCCAACTGTGAAGAAATACCTGAGGCAATGGCTCGCCATGTTGCTGGAATAGTCGGTTATCATTTGAAGCAGGAATACCAAATAAAATACACTCAGCAATAGATTTGCTCATTCGATAGTCCTGTGGCCAAAAGCGCCATTCTGGCAACGCCAACTGCAATGCCATTGAGGCATTAAGTTGCGCAATCGTACTGACTGCAATTTACCATAGCAAATTCCATGACATCCATAGGCATCAGGTGGCATCGCAGCTGCTGTCTCCGCGCAGCTGGCATCCCCACTGGCGATTGGCCAGCAGCCATGCTTGGCCTTGCATTTAAGTTTACGTTTTACCTTCATGTTTTTACGCGTAAACCCGTAATTTCCAAAATGGGCTATTTTCATGGCTGTACTTAAGGTTTTTCATGGATCGTCGGGACATCCAGGTCACGTGATGAAGTCGTAAACAATGATCAGTCCTCCACCTCCTCGAGCGCCCGCAAAACAGCGTTCACCTCCCCATCGGCAAGAGCAAATACATGTTGGAGCAAAAGATCGTTTTCTGCGCACAACAGCGCATGTGTCTGCCTCTCTCCAGACTCTCTGAGCCTGCATGTACCATCTTTATGTACTCCGAGTCTAAATCCACCTATTTTACGCGTACTTACGCTTACAAACGTCAATATTATTTTTTGAGTAAATACACATAAATGCTCAGTGTTTCTGCCATAAAGACCATGCATACCAGCAGCGACGCTGCCGTCAAAAGGACGGTGCTTTCCTGCTAGTTCTAGTGCCAAAAATACCAGCAATGACATTGCGTGCAGGACTTTTTAATGATGTTGGTATAATCCGTGCTTCTTGCACCATTTTGTCTAGCACCAGCCCACTGGCAGTACATTGTGTCCCACCTGGCCCCCTCGCCTTGCAGCCTTGGAGCGAATTGGCAAGTCTCCCTTTGCCACCGCAACCCCCTTCACCTCTCCACCGTCCCCTCGACCCGCTTCCTTCCCCATTTCCCCCGGTCGGCTCGACCGTCGCCGCTGCAGCTGACTCAAGCTTCCTTTCAACTCCGAATCTGTCACTGACCCACGTGCGCCTGTCGCGTGTGTTGGGACGAAGCCCATGTCCAAAACCGCTTTTGGGGTTTCAAAGAGGCCACCGCGTGCGTGTGGGTGTTCATCGCCTTCGCTGGTGGTTGCTACTCCAGAGAAGCTGATCGCGGTCCCGACAAGTCCCCGCCTGCCACAAGGGGCCGCACGGCTGTGCTCGTCGCAAATGGCGACCTCGGGCTCTGTTGTCCGCAGCACGCTCAGCAAGAAGTCGGCCTCGCTGTCCAGCAGGCCCAGATTTTCCATTCCGTCTGTGGGTTAGCGGTTGGGAATCTGCGGCTCTGCCAGGATTTTGGTTGTGTGATGGACAGGAAACACCAGCAAAAAGGGACCAAATAACACTTTTGCGAACACACACAAAACACATTTCATCAAAGTTCTGCACACTTAGAACACAAAAACAACCAAAGCCGTAAAATTTTTACACGTTTGAGCTCGTGTTATTTGGCCCTTGTTTTCCTAGTGGAACTGGCAATTTATTGTCAAATATCAGACGTAATTGGCATGACTAAATATGTTACCAATGTGCGAAGCTTCAGATTGGTATCGACGAGACCATGCCCGTTGGTGTCTCGCGCAAGAGTGAGAGGGGGCTCAGGTACCCAACAACCACCCCGTGGTACGACCAGCGCGCCTGGAAAGGCGCTGTGCCTCTCCAGCTCGGAAATGTAAACGAATCGAAAGTGCGTTGAATGTGAACTCACTTTGATTGCCGCATCTTCCTCCTGATGCGCCCTGTGCTGCAGTACATGTATGCGTCTTCTGCTTGCTTCCCGAGGGAAGCCTGAGATTTGGGTTACTAACAGTAATATTACTATATTGCTATTACTAATAGTACGTATTTCGCGCACTGCATCGGCAGGCTGTTCTCTCATATTCTCAGGCGAGCCTACCACTTTCCTGCGCTCGAGCATTTCCAACAGTCCCACATTTCACCGGCACCGGTACCACTAATACTGCAGCTAGAGTACTACCGGTACATCGCAACACTGCGTGGCGGGGGGACGACAGCGGTATCCAGATGTACGTGCCAGATGCCGAATCTTGGATGCGCTAAGATAGATGTTGGCGTTTGGAGATCTCCAAACCCATGGCATGCTGGATCTCTACTGCCCAATCGCCGCGGGCCCGCCACAAGGGCCGCAAAAACTGTACCGCAGCTTCGGAGCGAGCTCTAATCAGCGCCCATAGTTGGCGCAGTACAAATCCACATGACACGCCGCGCCGCAGACCGCCCAGCCCCTGGACGTCCCCCGCCAGAAACTCGCGGCCGCCAGAAACTCCGTCTCGATTCAAATCGGGCAGGCGCAGCCGCGACTGCGGCCGAGGAAGTGCATAAGCGCGGGGCGCCGCTCAGTGCCACCAGAATTTGAATTTTGAATCCGCCATTCGCTCCCGCTCCCGCCCTTCGCTCTCCTTTGGCTCCGTGCAGCTTGCCTTGATTCGCCGCGCATTGGACTTCTCGGGTCTGCGTGGACCGTGACCAAAGGTTCGGTGCTTTCACTCGTGGGCGATTCGCCCGTCTTTGAGGCTGTGGCCTCTGCGTGAGCTGTGGCCAGAATCTAGAACGCTGCGGGGCGCGCTTCTCTGTGCTTTGATCACATGGCACCTGCACGACCGCGCCCAAAGGTTGGAACACCGCGGTGCGCGATTTGCTGTGCGTTGACCTTTTGGAAACTCCTTGGACCCTTGACAAAGTTCCGATGCCATTACGCGAGGACGGTGGGCCGTGCTTTGATCGCTTGGCCTCTGAGTGAGCTGCGGCCAAAAGCTAGAACGGTCCCTTGCGCGCTTGGCTGTGCTCTGATCATTCGGCCTCTTCTGGACCGCGCTCAAAGGCTGGAACGCCGCGGTGCGCAATTTGCTGTGCATTGGCTTTCTGGCAGCTCCTTGGACCGTGGCCAAAGGTCCGATGCCTTCACGCGTGGGCGATTCGCCCTTCATTGACCCTCTGGCCTCTGCGCCCACAGCGGCCAAAGGCTGTACACTTCCCCGGGCGCAGGCGGCGGTTGGGTGCCATGGAGGGGCCCCTGTTCGACTTCCGGCTGGGCGGCGCCGTGGGCCAGGGCGAGGCGCCGTCGACGCCAACGCTGGCGGGCTGGGCGCGGATCGGTGACCGGCACCATCGCGAGGGCCGACCGAGGGCGGGGGAGGTGCGCGGGTTCCCATGCGCTCGGTGCTATCAGGCTGATGGCTGTCTGGATGTCTGGCTGATATCCGCTGAGCGCGAACAGCGGTGCCGTGTGCACGGATTGATGCGGTGCTGGGCGTGCGTGTAGCGATGCCGTCCGGAGTGATCGGCCCGGTGCTGGTGCCGCGGACTGGACTTTGGACCGACGTTGGTCAAGGGGCAGCCTTCGGCGGACTGGGCGCAAGCGTTGGCCCGTAATCGCGCCACGGATCGGACCACCTTGGACCGCGTATGGCCAAAGAGTGGACGCTCAGAGGGCTGGGCATACGGATTGGTGCGGCTTCGGTGACGCGGATGGACAAGTTTCGATTAGAGGCGAATTCCGAAGGCTTGTCGGCGAGGCTGGCCGCGGCGCCGGAAGGTGGTCATTGGAGGCGGCCCGCGGCGCAGCTGCGCGGATATTAAGCCACGCCTGTAAACGACACGTGCCTACCGCTCGCCGTTGACCAGCAACCACACACAAGGCTACAGGGCCGAGTACTCGCCACTGTGTTTCAAACAGGTTTCAAGCAACTTCCATGGCCGTGGCAATTTCTGATTTTGCGTGTGTCTGTGTCATCAGGGCTGCTGCAAGCTGTGTCATGCTCTTGTTTCTTCTTTCGGCGGTGGCGAGCACAGCCACTCCATTTCGTGCGTCGATTCGGCCATCTGGTGGGATGGGAATTCGATGATGCCTGTGCCTTTTGATGGCAACCAATTTGAGCACAAGCTCTTTTGTTGAAATCTGCCTATGAAAGACCGATATCTCTGTTTTTGCTTAAAGCAGGCCCTTGCATTTGCAGGTGGTTGCGGGCATGTGCATGCACCCTAAAATATTTTCGGTCCAACCTGCATTCCTTTTATGCGCCCACCAACCGACCCCACATATGCAATCGCTACCGGAAGAAATGCAGTTGAATTCAAAATGCACTTATTTCCATGAGAGGAAAGTCTCGTTTCGCCAGGTGAATTTTGGGCCATCGGAGTTTTGAACCATGCACCCGGCTTCGTCCAAGATTTTCGTATGCGTGCTCACATTCTGCGAGCAGCACCATGGACATGTTATTGTTGAAACAACGCGAAGCAGCATCGAATGAAATGTCGATGCGGACATTGATCATTACGAATTTAAGGCTAACGTCCAAAACGCTGTCTGCCGCGAGCTTTGGCGCTCAGTAAACCAATGGAACTGGGGTTTTGGAACATAAAATAGAGCCAGCAGTTCTCTACAACAGCGCAATCTTTCCCCGGCAGAAATGTAATCAAACGAAACAGACCGACAGTATGAAAGCCACGGAAGAAGAGCCGGCCCATCTGTGCCATCTGCAGCTGTTGATTGCAGTGAGCAGGTGCGCACCAGCCTTTCAGCCTTCCCCGCCCTCAAACTGTTAATCACATGCTGGCG